GTCCCAAGGATCCAAGTGCAACAGATTATGACTAGTAATAATCAGATACATACAGATTAGAGATGCATGCGCCAACATCTCAGTGTTTGTAGCAAGAACAATGAGTCTTTCTGCAAGGAACAATGTATTCTAAAATGAAATGGAGATCTTTTTTAAAGGTTTAAAACTCATAGAATTTTATGTCTTTATAGGGTTTATACTGAGTACAATAATATATAACTGTATTAATTCAACTGTAAACGTAAAAATTTCCAGTCAATTTTGAAAGAGATGCATCTTAGCTCTGGAAATTGTTATTGAATATGTCAATGCTGTTTGAAATGCTTCTTCTAATTATGTGGTTATTAAATAAATAATTAAAAAAGAAAAAAAAGTTATGTTTATCAGCTAGGTGTGGTGGCGCACACCTTTAATCCCAGCACTAGGGAGGCAGAGGCAGGCGGATCTCTGTGAGTTCAAGGCCAGCCTGGTCTACATAGTGAGTTCCAGGACAGATGGGGCTACAAGGAGACCCCGTCTCAAAAAGACCAAAAAAAAAAGTTATGTTTATCTTAAAAAGTTTTCTAAGATTCAGACACTACCTTGCCTACTCGTAGGAATTTATTTAAAAAGAATTAATGCCTAACTGAACTGAAATTATCAGAATATAAAAACAAATTCTTTAAGATTGTATTCTTAGATTCCATTGAAGACCAGAAAGATACAACATGGGTTTAAGATAAGGTATATGTTAATAAGCCAGCTACTGCTTACATACTTGAGCCCTACCTGTTGCATTACAAGTCTCTGCATTGAACGGTAACACTTTTACGTATTTGTCATTTGATCCTGTTGCTAGTAACTGTCCACAAGGACTCCAAGCAACACAATAAATGGATCCTTTATGATGTTTGTTTCTTTTAAATCGTACCACTGGCTGCTTAGGAACATCATGCACACTGAAAAGAAAAAGTACATAGAGACATTTCAATTTCTTGCTTGTCAAAATTAGTCAATATGAAATTCTCTATTATGGTTGTTCTTAAAGAAGAGAGGAAAAAGAATATCCAGCAACAGAGGTTTTTTTTTGTTTGTTTTTTGTTTGTTTTTTTCCTCCTTTGGATAGGATCTCATTATATAGCCTAGGATGGCCCTCATAATTCACCTGCCTCTCGGCCTCCTGAGCGCTGAAATAATGCATGGGCACCTCCATGCCAACTGACAACAGATTATCGAGTTTTCAAAATCATAAAGGAAAATAATGTAAATCATATTTAAAATCAAAACAGTAAAATTACAAACCATTTATCTCTCATTTCAGATCATATAATAAATAAGGCATGACTTTAAAAACATCATTTCCGAGGGCTAGAGAGATGGCTCAGCAGTTAAGAGCACTGGCTACTCTTGCAGAGGACCAGGGTTCAATTTCCAGCACCAAACAACCACGTGTAACCCCAGTTCCAGGGGATTTGATGCCCTCTTATGGCCTCCATGGGCATTGCATGCACATGGTACACTTATATACATGCAGGTAAACACTAATATACACATTAAAAAAAATAAATCATTTCTCCTGTTTTAAATAGATTTTTTAGTTCAGAAACAAAAATATAAACAAAGAGAGCTAATAACGAGTGTTTCCAAATTAAGAAAATACAATAAACATTTATTAATCAAGTAATAAGTAAGCAATGTGCCTGAGTCTAAGGAAAGGTAAAGAATGGATAAAAAAAGAAAGAGAGAGACAAGATCTCTTTCCACAGTTTAAAAATCTTGTAGGGGTAGATGTTGTCATGACTACCACATATAAGTCATTACAGTGATGTATGAAGTTTGGAGCTTTAAAAGATAGGGAGAATTTTTCAAAGAAAACATCAAGGTAGGAGACAGGAAAAAAAGATATAGATCAGAAAGTGCTTGTTGAGCATGTGACAGGAAAGAATCTGTGGGGCTAGTGGTGATAAACATTAAATATTCAGAACACAGAAGGCAAATGCAGTGGATGAGGTACCTGAAGCTCAGGTATGCAATGTGCAATATGCCACATGTGCTGGTGGTTTCTGTCAAAGTGACACAACTAGAGACACCTGAGAGAAGGAAACCTCAGCTGAATTTCTTTCACCACACTGGCCTGTGGCCATGTCTTTGAAACATTTTCTTTTCTTTTTTTCCTTCTTTTATGTGTATGAGTGTATTGCCTGCATGTATGTGAGTGCACCCGTGTCATGCAATGCTGCGGAGTTCGGAAGAGGGCTTTGGATTTCCCCGGAACTGGAGTTAAGAACAGTTTGTGGCCGCCATATGGGTGCTGGGAATTGAACCCAGGTCCTCTGCAAGAGCAGTCGTGCTCTTAACCACTGAGCCATCTCTCCAGCCTGGAAACATTTTCTTATTGGCATAATCCATCTCCCCCTACCAGAAGTTAATAAACTTATCTGTTCTACATAAACCTAACCCTAAAGCCTAACATAGTGGAGCTCAAAATAAATGTGTTAAACAAATAAATTTTCGTAAAAGTTGTGGGGTATTTTCACCCTTATGAAACATCTGTGACCAGCAAAGGAAATTGAAAAAATGAGAAACAATTAGACCCAGGTATGTTGGCCCACACCTATAATTCCCAGTACTCTGGAGGTTGAAGCAGGAGGATTTCAAGTTCAAGACGAGTCGGGGCCACACAGTGAGATCCTGTTTCAAAACAAATATATCCTGATGTAATTTAACTGCAGGAGCCAGGAAAATGGAAAAGAACCATGGGAGCAAAGGGGAAGAAGGCGCTTGAGAGAGGGAGAGCAGGAAGCAAGAGTTCCAAGAGAGAAATGGGGAAAATGGGGGAATACTTTAACTGCAAAGGGAATAGGGAGAGCTATACAGGGGGAGAGAGAAGAGTATAGATAAATAATACTTAGGTGTAGATGGTGTGAAAAACCAGGGAAAAATGTATTAGTTCAAAAGTCTACTGAAAAATACATACAATTGTGTGTGTGTGTGTGTGTGTGTGTGTGTGTGTGTGTGTAGCTGAAGGCTAGATAACAAAATACACAGTACCAGGGCAGGAGAAACCTCCCTTCAATTTGCTAGTTAGGGTAGTCCAAGAGACTCCTAAAATAACTAAGGCTATTGCTACAGCCTTATATTGCCTCACAGAACTTGAAGGTAAGACCCTATTGCTGGCCAGGCATAGTGACACACGCCTTTAATCCCAGAATTTGCAGAGGCAGGCGGATCTCTGTGAGTTAAAGCCAGCCTGGTCTACATGGTGAGTTCCAGGCCAGCTGGGACTACAGGGAGACCCTGTCTCAAAAACCAACCAACCAACCAACCAACCAACCAAAGACCCTATTGCTGAAGAGAGGACAGACTTTGGATACAGAAGTCTGGAGCTGGAACTGATCTGGAAACCTTCCTGAAGACTAGCTCTCACAGTATCAAAAGATACTATTCAAGTTGCCAAGGAGAAAACCAGCCAATGGTCCTATCCAGCTGTGAAGTGGATCCAGTGGTCCAGAAACTATCTCTAATGGTGCAGTAGTGGCAATTTTATTTTGGGGGTAATCAGCAACTCTCTAATTGGACATAAGGCCCACTCAATGGGAGGAAATTCATGTGTGGTACTGTAAACACAGCCAAATACACAAGGCTGGAGAGGTCACAAGAGCCATCATATTAATTCTATACCTCCATAATCATTGCTATTTTTCACTCCTTGATTTAGAATTGTGCTTTCTCTTTTTCAAGTATTTCTTTTTTTTTTTTTTTTTTTTTTTTTTTTTTTTTTGGTCTTTTTGAGACAAGGTCTCCCTGTAGCCCCAGCTGGCCTGGAACTCACTATGTAGACCAGGCTGGCCTCAAACTCACAGAGATCTGCCTGTCTCTGCCTCCAGAGTGCTGGGATTAAAGGCATGCACCATCACGCCCAGCTTCAGGTATTTCTATTTAATAATGCAATGGGCACCAATAAATTACAACAATGACCAAACATGGGCACTATTATTATTTTTCCCAGTCTTCAAATGTTATCACAGGTCAAAAGTCAAAATTATTTCAAGGCTAGGTATGGTAAATCCTTTTAATTCCAGCACTCAGGAGGTAGAGGGAGGCAGATCTTTGTTGAGGCCAGCCTGGTCTACATAGCAAGTTCCAGGTCAGCCAGTGCTGCACAGTGACACCCTGTCTCAAAAAAAAATTATTTTTTTAATTTCAAATATAGAAATGGTAAAAATATACCATGAAAAACTCCATCAATTCTGTCCCTTAAAGATTATAAGTATTGGGCTGGTGAGATGGCTCAGCAGTTAAGAACACTAACTGTTCTTGCAGAAGACCCAGGTTCTAATCCCAGCACCCACATGGCAGCTAACAACTGTTCATAACTCCAGTTCCAGGGAATCTGACAGCATCTTCTGTCTTCCGAGGTCATTGCACAACATGGGTGCACTTACCTACATGCAGGCAATACACACATACACATAAAATAAAAATAATAAATAAAATACTTTTTAAAAAAGATTAAAACTTGTAAAAACAAACAAAAACCCACATTGTTACTGTAAACTTGGTCAAGCTTATGGCTGAGGAGGTAATAAGTCTTGGGGGGAAACTACTATTATGTTGTCAAATGGTCATGCTGTTAAGCTATCTTCTAATTATTTATTTATGTTTATACCCAAAGATCTGATCTGCTCTCAACTTTGGTGAGAGAAGCTTCTTTCTGCAGTAAGCAGAAGTTAATTTAGAGACTTATAACTGTTAAGTGCTGAGAATTAGTGGCTGTCAGTGCTCAGCTATAAATGAGACATCTATATTAACCCTCCCTCTCACCCCCGCCCAAGGCTCAAGGAACATGCCAGAAGAGGGGGCAGAAAGAATGTAAGAGTCAGGCCAGAAGATAAGGAGGTGTGCTATGAAATGCTGCCTTCTGTACAGGTCCATTGCACTCAGGAAGTCACAGCAGCTGTGGTTCCATATACAAGACCTGCACAAGATCAAGCCAGTCAAAATGCCAGCATGGAAGGGAGAGGGGCTCATGAAGCCCCACTCCTAGCTGAGGAGCTACTGGCAACTGATGGCTGATGGGGGAGAGAGTCATTTTTCTTTGGGAGTGTGACCACTAGTAGGTTACCCATGATCTAGCGGATGGCCCCAAACCCATGTGCATATGAGAAGCACTAACTGGATTCAGTAGATTATTAAAAAATAAAGAAAAAGATACAAAGTAGGGAAGGGGATATGCTAGGAGGGTCTAAAAGGAGTTGAAAGGGGGAGGAGGAGTAGGTATGATTGAAATATATTGGGTGAAATTCTCAAAGAATAAAAAATATTTAAAAATTGTAAAAATTATCTAAAAGAATATGTCATGCAGTGCTTGTAATAATTAAAATTTTAAAGATTTATACAGCTTATTTTGCTTGGGCATTTATCTTTTGACATGAAAACCATTTTTTTTTGTGGTATCCACTTCCCTAACCACAAAAATCTACCAAACAGCTCATAATCTTTAATCTGCTAATTTATTGATAGACATTTTAATATCAAAAAAAGTTGAGAAAAACAGTATCTTATAAAAAAGCTCATATCTAAGCTGGGCATGGATGTGGTGGCACATACATTTAATCTCAGCACTCGGAAGTCAGAGGCAGGTGGGGCCAGCCTGGTCAACATAGTGAGTTCCAGGCCAGCTGGAGCTACAAGGAGATTCTGTCTTTAGAGGAAAAAAAAAAAAAAAAAAGCTCATATTTAGATTTCTGTGAAGTTACAGCTAAGATTTTTTTTTAATAATGTTGGAGATTGAATCTAGTACCTTGTACATCCTAGGCAGATGCTCTATTACAGAGCTATAAGTAACATATATGTCCTTTTTAAAAATATTTCATTTATTATTTTTATTTTATGTGTATGAGTGTATTGCCTACATGTGTGTAAGTGCACCCATGCCATGCAATGCCCACAGAGGTCAGAAGATGGCGCTGAATCCTCTGGAACTGGAGTTACAGACAATTGTTAGCTGCCAAGTGGGTGCTGGGATTCAAACCCAGGTCCTCTGCAAGAACAGCCAATGCTCTTAACTGCTGAGCCACCTCACCAGCCCCAAATAACATATATGTCCCTTTTAATGACGTATCTTTAAAAATATTTTCCTTATTTTCAGATCCTACAATTTGCTAGAACAGGAAGGTGAAACCACTCCTATGTTATTCAAATAAAATTTTAATTTTTGTAGGCTTAAAATGGCCAAATATGAGCAATTAGGTAATTTAACCTAAACTCTGAAGCTATAATAAGAAGTGCGGTGCTAGGAATGGGGGCAGTTACTTGTGAGAAGGAAGAGGAGAAGGAGGAGGAAGAGGAGAAGGCAGAAGGATCTCAGTCTAGGCTCCACAGTGAAATGCTGTCTCAAAAGAAAAAAAATACTTTCTCAATCTGTAACCAGCATAGCTGTTTTTGTCATATCATTTAACTGAAATATACAAACTTTACAGATAAAAAATAAATTTTAAAGACTGGGTATGGTGGCACAAACCTTTAATCCCAGCACTCGGGAGGCAGAGACAGGCAGATCTCTGTAAGTTCCAGGTCAGCCTGGTCTACATAGTGAGTTCCAGGCCAGCCGGGGCTACAGGGAGACCCTGTCTCAAAAAGACCAAAAAGTAAGTAAGTAAATAAAAAATGTCATGGAAATAAGACTATACTGAGTATTAAATGGCATAATAAAAATATTTTCTGTAGGGAAATAAAAAATTAATAATGGTGAATATATTTCCTAAGCATTAATAAAACAAGGAAAGGAAGAATTAAAGCGTTGTTGAATGACAATTCTGAAAAAACAACCAATATAGCTAACTTAAAATTAGACAAGTGCATCAATGCAAACCAGCTCTTCTCACCTTGGATCAATTACTTCTGGATAGGCACAAACTCTCAGAGTTTTTGAATTCGAACCAACAGCATATAAACTACCACTTGGATGAAAAGCCACTGCTCTAACAGCTTGTGTGTCTTCTAGAGTATTAATACAAACAAACTGCTTTTTTGATTTGTCATCCTGTGGAAATAATGAATATAAAAGTCAGTCTATAAAAAAGTAATTAATTTGAGCCACCTTTGTCCCATTTTAAATTACTGTCATTTCATAGTAACTACCAATAACCTTTTATGTGTCAAATCCAAATACCCATGTTTCTAATTTTTGTTAATCATTACCAAGCAAAAGTCAAGACAGTTCATAAACACAGAAATTTTTCTTAAGGCAAAATATTTTAAGTATATACTCCCATATTAAGCTCTCTCTATCAAGGGAGAAAACCTTACATATATAGAAGTTCTAGCAAAAACAACAGAACATCATATTTGTTTTGAACAGGAAACATATGGGCTGCTAGCTGGGAGACTATGGCAAGAGAATTAGTTATAGACTAATTCTGAGACCACTCTCAGAAAAAAAAAAGTAGTATAAAAGACTATTATTTAATCCACTTAAGGTTTAAAAAAAAAAAGGACAGTTTACCATTATCTCCAGCAATGACTATTTTAGCATTTTAAACTGAAATTGTAGAATGCCCTTTTAAAACTATGAAAATGCTAGAAGTACTACATTCTTCCTTTAGTCCATACATAAGAAATGTGATGCTAAATGAATAGTATGGAGGAGACAAGAGAAAAGGAGAGGGCTGGCTGATGAAACATTTTTAGCACATCAATAATAAGTTGATTTTAATATTTTTAATAATAAATTGATTTTATTTGTTCTTCAGTGTTTTAAATTTTTAAAAATTGTAGTCATTTTTAAAATAAGAGATTTCACATGAAAAAAATCTACATTGCTAGTTTCCCTTGAAAATCAAAGGATCTAGAAGCACTGGTATTGTATATTTCTTTGTACAAGGGACAAATATTCCTGTGTACTTATCATGAAAATGGGTGACTATGAATTTGCTTCCTGTTCAACCCCTACAGGAACCTGAAAAAAACTTTATGAGGTTAAATTTTGAACTAGAGGAAGCAAGATGACAAGAAACAAAAGTATTCTAGAAAGGAAAGGATGACTGATTCCAAAGCACAAGAAAGGTACTAAGATAAAAGGTCCAGCAGAGGCACCAATAATATCTAACCCTGCTACTCTAATGTTCAGAGCAGCACACTGTCCCAATTCCTGTGCAAAGTCAAGGTCACTACTACGCCATTAATATGAATACTTGAAAATGTGTTTTCTTTTAAAAAATTACATTTACTTTAAGTGTGTATGTATATGTGCATGCACACATGTGCACATATACCACAACATATGTAAGTCAGAAGGCGACTTCCAGAAGTCAGCTGTCTCCTATATGGGTCCGTGGGATTGAACTCAGGGTTTCAAACTTGGTGATAAGCACCTTTCCCCACCTCACCAGCCCACGGGAAATGTGTTTTATAAAGCAACTTCTCCATTTAGTTCGGTGAGATAAATATTATGACTATTCTAAAAATAATTTTCTTTGAATTAAGAATTCTCTGCATCATTTAAACACACACACACACACACACACACACACACACACACACACACAAACACAACTTCTCCAAAACATTACCTCTTCCCCTTTTGATCTTGATAGACTCCCGGAAGAATCTCCAAGAGATGGCTTACTGACCGAATGTTCTGATGAGCTGTGAGAGTATAAATCAAAATAGTTTACTTTGAAAATCAAAGCAGAAACTAAGTAAATCTAAACTTTCAATATTTAACCTTTTTAGCAAATGATCTTAAATGACTCTTCTCAAAGTCACTATGTTGAGACATGGAGAGCCTCTGGATTCAGTGATACCGAGAGTTGTAAAGAGAAGGTGAAGTGTGATTCTGGAAAGATTAAGTAAAGTCTATACACCATAAAGTAAAGAGTCAAGAACATTTTCTCTACTTGGTTCCAAAAATCCTGTCTACAATGCTTAAAACCTACCCCAATCATGAACCTAGAGCATGCTCTTTAGGAAAATTATCTGGCCTTAAGAGGAGAAAACAACAACAAAAATCTAACTGAAACTGACAGTTGAAGGCCTCTTAATAGAACAGTATTTCTATTGAATGGGACCCACTCCCCCCACCCCCAAGAGGTCAAAGGTAGTCAAATCAACCAATAAATGCAATTCTTTTCAAATAAACTTTCTTAAAACTCCTCACGCATTAAAGATAGTCAAAGATTTCCATATATTTGAAGAAATTCTCCTAGAATAAAGCTAGAGACTAAAATAACTTGGAAGAGAGACACTTCAAGGAAAAAAGCCACGAATCTACAAAACAGTTACACTCTTTACAGATAACAGGATATAATCTCAGAAAAAAAGAGCAGTACGCATTTCAAAAAGGAATTTTTTAGAGAATAAGCTTTAGATAGTTCAAATATTATAGCAAAAAAAATAGAAAAATGTCAGAATATTGTTAAATACTTTTTCCAACTTCTGAAAACTTAAGTTTCCAATTTTAAAGAGTACATGAACTACTCAACAGAATGAAATTACACAACATCAGAGGAGGATAGGACCTAAAAATTTTCAGAGTAGAAAAAGCAACAAGTCTTATAAAAAGGATCAAGAATCAGGGCTGGAGAGATGGCTCGGCAGTTAAGAGCACTGACTGCTCTTGCAGAGGACCTGGGTTTGTTTCCCAGCACCCACATGGCGGCTGCAAACCATCCTTAACTCCAATTCCAGGGGAATCCGAAGTCCTCTTTTGACCTCTGTGGCACTGCACAACACTGGTGCACTCACTTATATGCAGGTAATACACTCATACACATAAAATAAAATAAAAAAATAACAGCCGGGTGTGGTGGCACACGCCTTTAATCCCAGCACTCAGGAGGCAGAGGCAGGTGGATCTCTATGAGTTCAAGGCCAGCCTGGTCTACATAGTGAGTTCCAGGCCAGCTGGGGCTACAGGGAGACCCTGTCTCAAAAAGACAAATAAATAAATGAATAAATAAATAAATAAATATTTTTAAAAATGATTAAGAATCAAAACAGCATCAGACTTTTAAAATATTTTATTTACTATTTTTATTGTATGAGTGTATTGCACCTACATGTATGAAAGTACACCCATATCATACAATGCCCTCGGAGGTCAGAAAAGGATGTCAGATCACCTGGAACTGTTATGCACAGTTGTTAGCCACCATGCGGGTACTGGGAACTAAACCCAGACCTTTTCAAGAGCAGCCAGTGCCCTTAATCGCTGAGCCATCTCTCCACCCGCGACATCAGACTTCTTAACACTGAGACTCAAAGATCGTGTAGAAGTAACTTTTGAATACTGATGACTACCATCCTAGACTTCTATACTAACAAAATAGGAAATACAGTAAACACATTTTTAGATCCCAAGGTTTCAGAAACTTCACCTCTGATAAACTGCTTTTCAAGAAATGACATGAAGTCCTAATAACAGGGGATCCAATACAGGGAAGGAGTAAAGAAAATCCCAGGAAGAAGATGAGGAAAGTCTTGGGATTCTCTAGGCCTAGAACTTGATATGTAGATCAGGCTGGCCTTGGATTCACAATCCCAGAGTGCTGGGATTAAAGGCATGTGCCACCATGCCCTGCCTGTTAAAAAATTTTAAAAAAGGAAAAAGGCCTAGGCTGGGCATGGTGGTGAACTAATCTTTAGTCTTAGCACTCAGAAGGCAGACAAAAGCAGCAGGTAGATCTCTGTGCATTCAAGGCCAGCCTGGTCTACACTGTGAGTTTCAAGCCAGCCAGGGCTATACAGTGAGAACTTGTCTCAAGAAAAAAATAAAATAATTAATTAATTAATACAGGGTATTGCTGGAGAAATGTCTCTCAGAGCGAAAAATGACAGAAATTATTGGATACTTTCTACTATAATGAGAGAAGGCTTTTAACATTTTGTTTACATTCATTTACTTATTTTTATGTATATGACTGTTATGCCTGAATGTACATAAGAGCACCTGTGATGTGTAATGCCCATGGAGGTCAGAAGAGGGCATTGGATCCCCTGGAACTGGAGTTACGGATGGTTGTTAGCTGCTATGTGGGTGCTGGGATTCAAACATGGGTCTTCTGCAAGAGCAGCTAGTGCTCCTAACCTCTGAGCCAACTCTCCAGCCCCTAACATTCTTTTTAATATTTCATTTATTGTTTTTAATTTTATATGTATGAGTATTGCCTGAATGTGTGTAAGTGCACCCATGTCATGCAATGCCTGTGGAAATCAGAAGAGGGTGTCAGATCCCCTGAAACTGGAGTTACAGATGGCTGTTAGCTGCCATGTGGGTGCTGGGAACCAAACCCAGGTCCTCTGCAAGAGTAGTCAGTGCCTTAACTGCTAGGCCACCTCTCCAGCTGCCCCTTATATTCTTTATCTGTGTGTGTGGAGGTCAGAGGACAACTTGGCAGAGCTTATTCTCTCTTTCCACCATGTGGGTTCCAGGGATTGAGCTCAGATCATCAGGCTTGGCTGCAAGTACCTTTACCCACCAACACATGTTGCTGGTCCCAAGAGAAGTTTTACGATTTTTAAATTTTATTTTATTTACTACTTTTATTTTATATGTATGAGTGTATTGCCTGCATGTGTGTTAAGTGTACCTGTGTCGTGTGTGCAGTGCCCATGGAGGTCTGAAGGGAGCATCAGACCTCCTGGATCTGGAGTTATGAATGGTTAGCTGCGATGTGGGTGCCTGGAATCAAACCTGAGTCTTCTGCAAGAGCAGCCAGTGCTCCCAGACACTGAGCTATCTCTCCAGCCCAGTTTTATGAGTTTATACTTAGCATTTCTATTAAAGTTATTTTCCAAAGTTTAGTGACAAATACTAAGAAAATTAAGGAAGTGAACATGTACACTAATATACCAGCATAAGGTAAAGCTGTATAAAAGGAAATTTTAATCATATATATGACCCAACTGTAAATAACATTCATGGTAATATAATGTTAATACTGAGTACTGATTTCTTATGTAAATATATATATTTATATATGAATAGACAGATATATAAGATACTTTTATATCTTGAGAGAGCATTCAATATATGCATTTAATTAATATGTTCATATATGTGTTGTAGATATATAGATAGACAAAGTCAATGTGTTGTGGGTAAAACAGAATGATAGGAGACAATTACTAATAAAAATAATAATAGAGCTAGGCATGATGGTACACAACTTTAGTCTAGCACTTGGGAGGCAAAAGCAGGAGAGCTCTGTGAGATGAGGCCAGCCTGGTCTACATAGCGAGTTCCAGGCCAGCTGGGGCTACTGGGAGACTCTGTCTAAAAAAAAAGGAACAAAAACATGTTTTTCAGTTAGGCATGGAATATAGTATATAATCCAGCACTCCTTCCTTCATCTCCTAAAGGCTGGGCTTACAGGCGTATACCAACAAACCCCTATTTGTCTTTTAAAAATCATGCCTGCATATTACAGTAATAAAAATTTAAATCTAAAATCTGAGTTCTAGTTTGAGGAATAATTAATGGACGTATAATGGGAACTATAACAAAGTAAATATTAGACACTCATGCATGATCTAAGTAAAAGTGAAAGGGGATGGGTTACAGATTACAGCATTCTGTATTACTTATTATAAAGGAATCTACATTCACACACTAATAATGGCTTATTTGTTTTGAATTAACTCTTCAAAACAGCTCAAGTGGTACCAGGAAGGAAATTAAGAGTTAATACCATCAGGCATCAAACAGAGCCAGTGGGAGAACTGCCAGGGTCCTGATGTCCAAAAAGGTGATACTGAGGGAGGTATTGAATATCACAGGAATGTGGCAATCACCTGACCAGAGGGACAAGTTTCAGTACTGATAACTATGTTCCTTTCTGTCTCTATAAAATGGCCAGCTTGGGATCAGATACAGTTTTTTGTTTGTTTGTTTTGTCATTTTGAGACAGGGTCTCCATGTAGCCCCAGCTAGCCTGGAACTCACTATGTAGATCAGGCTGGCCTAGAAGTCACAGAGATAACCTGCCTCTGCCTCTCAAGTGCTAGGATTAAAGGCATGCACCACCACACCCAGCTGGATACAGTTTTTTAAGGCATTAACTTTCTGTCTTCCCAGATCTGAGACTCCTGAATTCAAATTCAGTAACTCAAAGATTCAGTTTCTATCTCTCATTGACATTTGTGTAACAGGCAGCCCGAGTTCCAATATCCCAGTTACAAGAGTAGTATACAATATTTATTACAAGGCTAATTCCTACAAGCACCCAAGTGCCAAAAACAAATAATGCATTTTTAAATGAATCACAACCTGAGAAGTGTTTTATGTTAATGGAAGAAAATGACCCTTAATAAGTCTCATTGCATAAATTAACACATTTACTAACAATAGCAATATAAAATGTTATTAGTGAAAACCTAAATATGCAAACTCTTTAGCCGCTAAATTTTTTGGCAGAGTTGTCAAAATTGTCTTCCTACAATCACTCTAACATGTTATAAAAACATCTTCTTGTGCTCTGAAAGTCCGTGAAATTATTTGTTGAAAATGTCAAAGGTAAGGAAAAAGAAAATCAAGAGGATAAAGCCTAAAATTATAGGCTTTCTGAATAAGATAGTTTATAAAACAATATTGAACTGTCAGGCAGGGCATAGTGGTACAAGCCTTTAATTCCAGAACTTAGGAGGCAGAGGCAAGCAGATCTCTGTGAGATCAAGGCCAGTCTGATGTACACAGCAAGTTCTAGGCCAGCTGGGGCTACAGGGAGAAAATGTCTCAAAAACAAACAGAAAACCTAAAACCAAAAACCAAACTAAGAAAAGACCACCCCAATAACAAACAAACTGAAGTATCTTGGTGTTGGTGAGGAAAGAACAACAAACAGATGGAAAGGAAGACTAGAAAGATATTTAGAATAAAGGGGCTGGAGAGATGGCTCGGCAGTTAAGAGCACTGTCTGCTCTGGCAGAGGACCAGGGTTTGGTTCCCAGCACCCACATGGAGGCTAAAAACCTTATGTAACTCCAGTTCCATGGGATCTAATTCCCTCTTCTGGCCTCTGCAGGCACTGCATACACATGGTGCACTTGCATACATACATGTAGGTAAAACATTCATATACATAAAATAAATAAAAAATATTTTTAAAAAGGATATTTAGAACAGAGATAAATGAAGGCAGATTAGAAAAAATACTGGGGAGCTAGTAAAGCTCTAAATTTTTACTTGTAAGGCTCCAAAGAGAAGTTCAACTTTTGTTCCTATTCATTCATATAATAATAAGTTAATATTTTCAGGTTTTACAAAGGCAAACACTTACACCTGACTTCCACAAGGTGGAGAGTCCTCAAGAAAAGGTATGTGATGTGTTGATCCAGGATTACGAGGAGTGCTTGTGTGAATATTTGAAGTATCATGTGTTAATCTCTGGCTGGAGTCTTGCGGTGGTGTAGCAAAACTAGTCACAGAAGAATCATGTGATCCATTGCCTTTGCTCCCATTGCACTGCTGGTTGAGCACTGGAACTTCATTACAAAGACTATCCATTCCAATATTTAATTCTCCAAGCTTTTGAATAGACCTATAAAAGTAAATAAACTGCATTAAAATAAAAATGTAACTTGAAACATTCCTAATATATTCAAAGCTAAAAAGTTTGAAAAGATAAATATATGTACATAAATCTAGTAAAAGTTTTATTTTAAAAATAATCATTGGCCGGGCGTGGTGGCGCACGCCTTTAATCTTAGCACTCGGGAGGCAGAGGCAGGCGGATCTCTGTGAGTTCAAGGCCAGCCTGGTCTACATAGTGAGTTCCAGGCAGATGGGGCTACAGGGAGACCCTGTCTCAAAAAGACAGGAAAAAAAAAATCATCATTAGCCAGGCATGGTGGCGCATGCCTTTAGTTCCAGCACTTGGGAGGCAGAGGCAGGGGGATCCTTGTGAGTTCAAGCCCAGCCTGGTCTACATAGTGAGTTCAGGTCAGCTGGGACTATAGGGAAACCCTGTCTCAAAAAAAAATCATCATTAACTTAAGACATAACCAAGATACTAGAAGATTATCCACATTTTCTCATAGGACCACACTGTAAAGGAGACAAGGATAATGGGTATAGCTTAGCATGTGTGATGCTTTGATACAAAAACAACTTAATTTCCAAATACTGTCAATAACAGTAACACTACTACCAAATTTTAATCTAACAAAATGTTATTTTCATTTCATCTATCTTTAGTAACATCATGTCAACTAAAATCTGATGATTATGGCAGACCATAAGGGCATCCCTGCTATTCACAGCTGCATTCACTCACTCATCCTGCAGCTAGGCTTTGCCAGACTCTGCTATGGCAATGTAGAGATAAAATGAATACAAAACAATGCAACCTCAGGACTCTTCCCTCAAAATAATCTTTCTATCTGCATAACCTGATTTCTTATTCTGGGCTCAGGGATATGAAATTTCAGCACAAAGAGGAAGTCACAAGGCTCTCTTGGCCTAGCTAGTCTTGGTGGCATATACCTATATTACTACTAGGAATGCTGTGGAGGGAGAATGGGGCCAGCCTGCACTACACAGTGAAACTCAATTTTTTTTAGATCTAGAACTGACCCAGGATCACTACCTTCAGCCTAGATTCAATATGAGAAAGAATTAAGACAAGAAGTATGAAGTATTGTGCTTCACTGTGTTTTCTAATTTCCCTTTATTAAACACTGGGTACGTACATCTTTGTGTGTTTAGAGGTTTTAAAATGTGTTTTCCAGGGCCAGGCGTGGTGGCGCAAGCTGTGAGTTTCAGGCCAGTCTGGTCTACATAGTGAATTCCAGGCCAGCTGGGGCTACAGAGAGACCCTATCTCAAAAAAAAAAAAAAAAAAAAAAAAGGCCAAAACTAGCTGAACTGCCCAGAATTCTGAGACATTAGATATAGCATTTTTAAAATGCTGAAAATTTCAAACTACATGGAAAGCAGCAGTTACTGAATGTTCTTTTTATTTTTTATTTATTTTGGGGGTGGGGGGCTTTTTGAGACAGGGTTTCCCTGCAGTCCCAGCTGACCTGGAACTTGCTCTATAGACCTGGCTGGCCTTGAACTCACAGAGATCCGCCTGCTTCTGCCTCTCAAGGGCTAGGATTAAAGGTGTACACCACCACACCGGGTCTGAATGCTCTTTTTAAAAGATTTATTTCTTTTCATTTAATTTTACTTTATGTGTATGAGTGTTTGCCTGCATGTGTGTATGTGGCCAAGGAAACCAAAAGAAGGTGTCAGATCCCCTGGAACTGGAGTTATGGAGGGTTATGAGTCACCATGTGGGTGCTGGGAACTGAACCCAGGTCCTCTTTAAGAGCAGTAAGTACTCTTAACCACTGAGCCATCTCTCCAGCCCCAGCAATTACTGTATGCTTTCACCTTTAATCCCAGCACTCAGTGGGGGCAGAGGCAGGCAGATCTCTGTGAGATCAAGGCCTGGTCTACACAGGGACCTCCAGGCCCAGGACTACAGGGAGACCCTGTCTCAAAATACAAAAACAACAAAACTTCTTTTATTTTAAAAAGTGACTAGAAGACCAACCTATTAAGGAATTGTTCAGTAAGATTCTGTTGCTGATCAGGACCATCCTCTTGGTTCACACCTCCTTCAAGCAGCATCTGCTGGTATATCTGTCGCTGTTGCTCCTTCTGTTCTAAATGCTGCTGATAGCGTAATCTTTGCCTATAATATTCTTGAAATTGTTCAGTGGAATCTCGAAGCTTAAAAATATTAGAAAAACAATAATTTGAACAGACCATTATTGACTGCTTTTATATAATTTATAAATGACTGAAATTACATACAGCTAGAACAATTTAAACACAATATTGTTCTTTGAAAAATATAACAGCATTCATGTCTTAATATTCACAAATTAGGAGGGATTGGAGATGGCTCAGCAGTTAAAAGCACTGGCTGCTCTTGCAGAGGACTTGGTTCAGTTTCCAGGGAATCTAATCCCCCCTTCTGGCCTCTGTAGACACTGCACAACACAGGCGCACTTACATACATACAGGCAAAATACATAACACATTTATTTTTAAACAAATAAATAATAAAAGATATTCACATATTATCATTTACTTTGCTTTATTCCACAGTAATAGACTAAAATGGCTGGTTACTGTGGGTCCCTGACTAACTCAAACTAAACTAAAAATGCAAACTGATGGCTATAAATGGATACAGAGAATATGCATGTAGACAAAGATAGATTTGGCCCTACCTAAACAAAAATACATTTTCAAAGACTAAATTACTACTGAATAAAAATATTAACCTTGCCGGGCATGGTGGCACATGCCTTTAGTTCCAGCACTCGGAAGGCAGAGGTGGGAGGATCTCTGAGTTCAAGGCTGGCCTGGTCTACATAGTGAGTTCCAGGTCAGCTGGGGCTACAGGGAGACCCTGTCTCAAAAAATAAAAAAATAAAAAATAAAAAATAACCTTATCAAACATGATGAATTTAAGCTTGTAAATGGTCTAACAAGTTTCTACAGAAAGAAACATATATTTTAATAAGAAATGGGTTATAAATGTTCTTTCATAAGTAAGAACTGGTTAAATATAGCAATCTCAACATTCCCCATTAATCCTTCTAAAAGAATTGTATAAACCAGGCATGGTGGCCCACACCTTTAATTCCAGCACTTGGGAGGCAGAGGTAGGTAAATTTCTGTGAGTTTAAGGCCAACCTGGTCTCTATAGTGAGTTCCAGGCCAGCTGGGGCTACAGGAAGACCTGTCTCAAAAGAATTGTATAGGGGCTAGTGAGATGGCTCAATAGGTAAAGACACCAAGCCTGATGACCTGAATTTGATTCCTGGGTCCCATGCGGTATAAGGAGAGAACTGGCTCTTACAAACTGTCTTCTGACCTCCACACACACACTGAGTGGTGCACACTCATACACATACACATGCACATGCATAAAAAATAAATCAGATATAATGTAAGTTTTTAACCTTAAAAAAAAAGAGAACTAGGCTGGGCGTGGTGGTGCACGCCTTTAATCTCAGCACAGGGGATTGAGACAGGGAGACCCTGTCTCAAAAAGACCAGGGGAAAAAAAAAAAGAACTGGGGCTTTAGAGAGGGCTCGGAGGTTAAGAGCACTGGTGGTTCTTGCAGAGGACCACAATTTGGTTACCAGTACCCACATGGCGGCTGACAACCATCTGTAACTCCAGTTCCTGGGGATTCTCTGACCTCTTCGGACCTCCACAGACACTGCATGACACAGGTGCACTTATATACATGCAGACAATACACATAAAATTTTGAAAAAAGAACTGTACAACACCCAAACTCATAGAACTACGATATTTAGTGAATTTCAATATTGGCAGAAAGATCCCACAACCAAGCTAAAGTCTATTCAATTGCATAGATCATGCTACTGGGGTAACTAGAATGAATCAATCTTTGAAATTAACCAACACTTAACTAAGAATTTTGCACAGCTATTCAAAGCTCAAACTGTCATCCTCTGCAAGAACAGCAAGCACTCTTAACTACTGAGCCATCTCTCCAAGTCCCTATATGTACTTTTAATAGTAATTTTTAGAATTTCACTAATATTTCACTGAAAACAAAAGTTACTCAATTTATTAAAACCATTTAACAAACTTAAGTGTTGGTGACACACACCTGTAATCTTAGCACTTAGGAGACAGGAGGATCATGTGTTTGTTACCAGACTAATTACATAACAAAACTGTTTAAAAAAAAAAAAAGAAAATCACCTGACATGGCTCAGCAGGTAAACGTATTTGCTGGGCAAGCCTAACAATCTGAGTTTGATCCTAGGGCCCAAATAAAGGTGGAAGGAAAGAACTGACTCCACAAAGTTGTCCTCTGACCTCCACACATTTGCTATGGCACATATGCTCTCACATACATATTACACGCATGCACATACACACACACAAATGAAAAATACTAAAAATTAATAGCTGGGCACGGTGGCGCATGCCTTTAATCCTAGCACTCTGGAGGCAGAGGCAGGCAGATCTCTGTGAGATCAACACCAGCCTGGAGTATATAATGAGTTCTAGGTCAGAAAAACAAGTGATGTATGTTCTCTCTCATTTGTGGATTTTTAAAAAATATTTTATTTATTATTTTATTTTATGGGTATGAGTATTTTACTGCCTGCGTGCATGTAAGTGCATTCATGTTGTGCAATGCCTGCGGAGGTCAGAAGAGGGTGTTGGATCCCCCGGAATTGGAGTTATGGACCATTGTTGGTGCTGGGAACTGAACTCAGGGCTTCTGCAAGAGCAGGCAGTGCTCTTAACTGCTGAACCATCTCTCCAGCCCCTCCATTTGTGGATCTTAGCTCCAAATTCTTAGATGTAACTATATCCTGATACAACTACAGAAGCCAGGAAAATGGTAAGGAACCATGGGAGTAAAGGGAAGGGGGAGCTCAAGAGAGGGGGAGAGCAGGAGGCAGATGTTATCAACAGAGATATAGGGAAAATGGGGGAATACTTTTAACTGGGAAGGAATTTGGGAGGGCTATATAGGGGGAGAGAGAAGAGAGATAAATAATGCTTAGGTGGTATAAAAATCAGGGGGAAACGCCAGGCGTGGTGGTGCACGCCTGTAGTCCCAGCACTTGGGAGGCAGAGGCAGGGGGATCTCTGTAAGTTCAAGATCAGCCTGGTCTACATAGTGAGTTCCAGGACAGCTGGGCTTACAGGGAGACCTGCTTCAAAAAGACAAAAAAAAATGAGGGGGAGATGCTTCAGCAGTTTAGAACACTGGCTGTTCTTGCAGAAGACCCATGTTCAAATCCCAGCACCCACATGGCAGCTAATAACTGTCTGTAACACCAGTCTCAGGGGATCCGACAGTCTCTTCTGTCCTCTGTGGGCACTGCATGACATGGGTACACTTACTTACATGCAGGCAATACACACATACACGTAAAAAAAAAAAAATCAGGGGGAAATGTATTGGTTCAAAAGCCTACTGAAAAATACACATACAAAATATATATATATATATGAGTACATGTGTATAGCTGAAGGATAGATAACCAAAATCACAGTGACAGGCAGGAGAAACCTTCCTTCAAGTTGTTGGTCAGGGCAGTCTAAGAGACTCCCAAAATAACTCAGGCTATTGCTACAGCCTTTGATTGCCTTCCAGAACTTGAAAGTAAGACCCTATTGCTGAAGACAGGACTTTGGATACAGGACTTAGAGCAATAGAGCTGGAACTTATCTGGAAGCCTTCTCCTGAAGACTAACTCCCACAGTATCAAAAGATACTATGCAGGCTGCCAAGGGAAAAAACGAAACAGTGATTCCATCCAGTTTACAGCTACGAACAACAACAATGACCAGCCTAGCAAATGATCTCTACAGGTGCAGTAGGGGCACTTTTGTCTTGGGGGTAGTCAACAGCTGCCTAATTGGACTTAAGGCCCACCAAATGGGAGGGAACTCATGTGTGGTACTGTAAACATAGCCAAATACAGCCAGATGTGGTGGTACATGCCTTTAATCCCAGCACTCGGGAGGCAGAGGCAGGTGGATCTCTGTGAGTTCAAGGCCAGCCTGGTCTACATAGTGAGTTCCAGGACAGCTGGGGCTACAGGGAGACCCTGTCTCAAAAAAAGACCAAAAAAAAAAAAATAGCCAAATACATTTGGCTGTAGAGGTCATAGATCCTAGAGAAAAACCTACTTTTGTCACATCCCTAGAGCAATGTAATTTCTTACTATATTTTAAATATATATCTTTATATTTACAGACAAGTGTACCTCTCACCATTCAATCTCACCATTCTATCTTTTTACAACAGATAGAGACTATTACACAGTTCCACAACTGGTCAAATGCTGAGGGTAAGTGTTCGTGAGGTGCCCAGCCCTAAGTGACACATTTACAATGCAACCTCTATATGTAAGGCTCAGGGAACACAGCAGAACAGGGGGAAGACAAAATACTAATGTATGTCTCACCTCTCACTAGCAAAGATTCCTCATGCAACAGATGGTGATTAACCCAGAAAGCCACAACTGGCCAAAGTGTAGAGAATAAAAGACTCGAGAGTACTTATCCCTGAATAGGACACCTATATCAAATGTTGTATGAAATTCATAAAAATTCAGTAAAAATTATTTTAAAATAATAAAAAGTAAACATCCAATTACCACAAAGAAATAAAAATTACCACAAAGAAATAAAAATTACAAAATTACAAAATACACAATAACTAAATATAACAAATTCTTTGAAGGAAGAAAATAGGCAATAATGAAGTCTAGAATCTTTGTCGTACTTCCAAACGCTATAAAATTATTTTTACATTTTGTACAGACAAATAACTATTATTCCTTACACAGAGAATAAATCTAGAGCACATTACACAGAGTAATCACCTCATTCTTTTCTTGCTTAGCTGGTGCTGTGTTCTGTGTTCCATTTGCAGGCTCTTTTTCTGAAACTGAACTCTGGCCCGAGGTTTCACTGATAGGCCGCTGTGCCTCAACAGGTGTATCACTTCTTCCAAAAAGGTGGAAAACACAGCGATGGGAATGAAATAAAATACATTTTAGAGGAATTTTAATTATATAAAAAAATGTTTAGGCTTTAGTAAATATCAACTCTAAAGAATAGATTTCTTAATCATAGAAAAGGTTTTATTTATTTTTATTTTATGTGTATGAGTGTTTTGTCTGCATGTATGTAAGTGCACCACATGTGTGTAATACATGAAAGAAGCCAGAAGAGGACGTCAGATCCCCCTGAAACTGTAGTTACAGTTAGCTGCCATAGTAGTGCTGGGAACCAAACTGTGGTCCTCAAGAAGAGCAGCCAGTGCTCTTAACCACTTAATCATCTCTCCAATCCCCAGAACACATTTTTAAAAACAGAATGCAACTTTTAGAAGAGTTATTTGTTTGAGATAGGGTCTTGCTATGTCACTCAGTCTGGTCTCCAACTCTTAGGCTCAGGAGATTCTCCTGCTTCTGCCATCCACATAACTGGAATTACAGATATATATTGCCATGCCCAAATAGAATGAACATGTACTGGGGAGCCCTGGGTTATCATACAAAGGAAGCAGAATCTCTAAAATCAGTAGAATGTGATTTTAAGAAATGCACTTACATTCTGGCCCAAGTGCATCATAAAGTAGGTAGAGTGGATAATCTAATACTTATATTTTCTTTATGAAATATAAATAATTTTGTTATTCAAATATTTATTTTTCCCTCTCATATATCTCTATAGAATTTAAGAATTTTTAACTGGGGGGGGGGGGCTGGAGAGATGACTCAGTAGTTAAGAATACTTGCTATTCTTCCAGAGAACCCAGATTTGATTCCCAGTACCACCTAACAACCATTCATAACTCCAGGTCCAGGGGATCTGACATCTTCTTCTTGCCTCTGCAGGGCATTGCACGCATATGGTGCTCTTATATACATGCAGGCAAAACATTCATACACATGAAGTAAAACATATTTTTTTTGCCTTTTTGAGACAGGGTCTCCTTGTAGCCCCAGCTGTCCTGGAACTCACTATGTAGACCAGGCTGGCCTCGAACTCACAAAAATCTGCCTGCCTCTGCCTCCGAAGTGCTGGGACTAAAGGCATGTGCCACCACACCCGGCAAAATATTTTTTTTTTTAAAGAATTTAAAAATTTTTTAAGGGACTCTTTTGTCTATATACACTTAATACAAAAGTAAAACTCCTATCTTTCTGAATTTTTAGTATATGACCTTTTTTTTTTTGTTCTTGGTCTCCCTATAGTCCCAGCTGGCCTAGAATTCACTATGCAGACCAGGTTGGCCTTGATCTCATGAGATTTACCTGCCTCTACCTCCCAAGTGCTGAAATTAAAGGTATGCACCACCACACCCAGCTATTTATGACCTTTTTAATTTCATAATCTTGAGATCTTATATCAAGTTGTTCCTAACATTCTTCCAAAATACTAACAGTTTCATAACTACTCTGTTAAAAAGCATTAACATCATCTGCAGATGATGGATATCAGATAATTACACATATTTACCTACTGCACCATGGAAACAACTATAAAAGTTAAATGATCTTTCACTTTAAGGAATTTGATTATGGCTGGGCATGGTGGTATATGCCTTTAATCCCAGCACTCAGGAGGCAGAGGCAGTTGGATAAATCTAGGTGGTCTATACAGCAAGTACTAGGTCAGATGGGGCTACAGGGAGATCCTGTCTTGAAAAAAAATTTTTTTATGAAGTACTGACCTCTCCAGGTAGAAGTATACAAGACATACCAAAATACAGGTGTAGGAATACATGGCAGAGTTAGATGTAACTAATAAAAGAGTCATCTTCACAAAGGTGCCCTTTAGCTTGTTTTTCAATTGCGTGTGTGTGTTTGCACACGCACGTGTGCACGTGTGCGTTAGAAAAATCTGGAAAGAATTTTCATTACCAAACTGTTCTATAAATTACTAATGACTATAATAAGCTCCCTTATACATGTAACATAAAATGGAATTTATAACAGTTATTTGCTATATAGAGGTAGAATAAAATATTCATAAAATATTTCATTTAATTCTGCAATTCATATAGCATTTCCAAATGCGTTATCTCGTTTTACTTGCAGAATAACTTGTAGAATAGGTAATAACTCCCAATTTCATAGGGAAAAAACAAACTAAAACCAAAAGATTTTCCTAAAATCACATAGCTAGAAAATAGAAGTCAAGCTTGAACCCAGATCTTCAAACTCCAAATCTAGTGCCACTCCCAAGCCAAAAGAAACTTCTTTTTTTTGCGGGGGGAGGGTCTTTTTGAGACAGGGTCTCCCTGTAGCTACAGCTGGCCTGGATTCATTAGGGAGACCAGGCTGGCCTCAACTCACAGAGATCCTCTTACCTCTGCCTCTCAAGTGCTGAGACTAAAGACGCCCAGCAAGAAATTTTATTTCTAAGACCACCATATCAAACAGCCAAATTTTAAATATTTTAAATGATTTTTCTCCATTTTGAATTTGTTTCTGTTCAAATGAAAAGACATACTTAACAAAATATCATATAATCCCTAAAAACCTTGCTTTTCTGTAATAGGTCCTTGTGCTTCATGGGAACTTAACCACTACATCCCAGGGGTATGTAGCAACCAGTAAACAATCTTTTCTTTTCTTTTTCTTTTTTTTTTTTTTTTTTTTTTTGGTCTTTTTGAGACAAGGTCTTCCTGTAGCCCTAGCTGGCCTGGAACTAGCTATGTAGACCAGGTTGTCTTTGAACTCACAGAAATCTGCCTGCCTCTGCTTCCTGAGTGCTGGGATTAAAGGCCTGAAACCACCATGCCCAGTTTTTTTATGGTGTTTTTGAGACAGGGTCTTCCTGTAGCCAAAGCTGGCCTGGAACTCACTATGTAGACCAGGCTGGCCTCAAACTCACAGAGCTCTACCTGCCTCTGCCTCCCAAGTGCTGGGATTAAAGGTGTGTGCCACAACACCTTGCTCACAATCAGGTATTTTTAAAGCAGGTATCTTACAGATAATTGTTACCATAAATAGGAGTCTCTTGTATGTTTTATTTTAGACAACAGATCTAATTGAGCTTCCTAGTATTTTTAAATCACCCCTAACGTTTTTAAAAACAAGGACAAGGTGGCAAATGGAAGCCAAAACCAAGCTGGCATAGTCATTCTAATATATAATAAAGTAGATTTCAAAACCAAAATTAGTCAGAAGAGATAAAGGACACTACATATTAATAAAAGGAACAATTATCAAGATTTGACAATTTTAAATACATAATACATTAAACACAGGGGCTAATGGACATAAAAAAGTCAACTAAGTCCAGATAAAATAATAGTGGATCATCTCAATACCCTACTCTCATGTTTAAATAGGTCATCAAAACTAAAAGTCAAGGGGCTGTAGAGATGGCTCAGAGGTTAAGAGCACTGACTGCTCTTTCAGAGGACCCAGGTTCCATTCCCAGCACCCAGCACCCACATGGTGGCTAGCACCCATTCATAACTCTAGTTCCAGGGAATCTAAAGCCTTCTTCTGACCTTCGCAGGCACTCTATGATATGGGTGCACTTACACACATACAGGCAATACACTCATACATATAAAATAAAAATAATGCTTTTAAAAAACTAAAAATCAATAAAGACATATTTAACACCAAATGTACTTAGCAGATATATACAGATTATTCCATCAAAAAGATACAGAACACACATTCTTCTCAGCAGCCCATGATGGGGTCTCTAAAGTAGACCACACTCTAGGTCACAAATCAAGTCTTAGCAAATACTAAAGAATCAGAATTTTTTTAATTAAACTTTTTAAAAAATATTTTATTTACTATTTTATATGTATGAGTGTATTGCCTGCATGAATGTGAGTGCACCCACGTCATGCAATGCTGTGGAGGACAGAAGAGGGCATCAGATTCCCCTGGAACTGGAGTTAAGGACAGTTCATGGCTGCCATGTGGGTGCTGGGTATCGAACCCAGGTCCTCTGCAAGAGCAGTCAGTGCTCTTAACCTGCTGAGTCATCTCTCCAGCCCCAAGAATCAGAATTTTTAAAAAGTTGAAATAGTTTCTTGCCGGGTATGGTGGTACACACCTTTAATCCCAGCACTTGGGAGGCAGAAGCTGGTGGATCTCAGTGAGTTTGAGGCCAGCTGGGGCTACAGGGATACCCTGCCTCAAAAAGACCAAAAGGAAAAAAGTTGAAATAATTCTTATTATCAGATCATAGTGTAACAGAACTAGAAATCAAAAGCAATATATATATGTATATATATATATATATATATATAAATTACACAAATACGTGAAGACTGAACAATACAATATGACTTTTTTTTTGGTCTTTTTGAGAAAGGGTCTCCCTGTAGCCCCAGCTCTCTTGGATTCTCTATGGAAACCAGGCTGGCTGGCTTGAACTCACAGAGATCCACCTGTCTCTGACTCCCGAGTGCTGGGATTAAAGGTGTGCGCCACCACTCCCAGCTACAATATGCCTTTTTAAAAAAGTTTAATGGGACAGAGTGTCATGTAGTCCAGGGCAGGCCTCAATCTCACTATTTAGCTGAGGTTGTTGGCCTTGAACTCCTGATCTTCCAAGCCTCCACTTGCTAAATACTAGGATCACAGATGTGTGCCACTGTGCCAGGCTTAAACAGTACACCTTTGAATTATTGGTGAGTTATTGAAGACATCAGTGGGGAAACCAAAAGGTTTCTAGAATCAAATGAAAATGAAAATACAACCTACTTTGGGACACAACAGTTCTAAGAGGAAAGTTTACAGCTATGAGTGCTTATGTTAAAAAACAACAGAAAGTGCTGGGTGTGGTGGCGCACATCTTTAATCCCAGCATTCAGGAAGCAGAGGCAGGCCGATCTCTGTGAGTTCAAGGCCAGCCTGGTCCACATAGTGAGTTCCAGGACAGCTGGGGCTACAGGGATACCCTGTCTCAAAAAGACAAAAAAAAAAAAAAGACCAAAAAAAAGAAAAAAGAAAGTTTGGGTTACCCATGCCTTTAATCTCAGCACTTGGGAGGCAGAGGCAGGTGGATCTCTGTGAGTTCAAGGTCAATCCGGTATACATAGTGAGTTTCAGATCTTATCTCAAAAGTAAACAAAAACAAAAATTTTTTAAAAAGCAATAGAAGCTGGGCATGGTGATGCAGGCCTTTAATCCCAGCACTCGGGAGGCAGAGGCAGGCGGATGTCTGTGAGTTCAAGGCCAGCCTGGTCTACATAGTGAGTTTCAGGACAGATGGGGCTACAGGGAGACCCTGTCTCAAAACAAACAAAAAAAAGCAATAGAAAGATGTCAAAAATAATAACCTAATGATGCATCTCTTACAAAAACAAGAAAAACCAATTTCAGATGCAGTAAACAGCAAGAAATAATAAAGATCAGGACAGAATCCGGTGTCGGTGGCACATGTCTTTAATCCCAGCAATTGGGAGACAGAGGCAGATAGGTCTCTGTGAGGCCAGCCTGGTCTACATAGTGAACTCCAGGCCAGATGAGGCTACAGGGAGATCCTGTCTCAAAAGACCAAAAAAAAAAAAAAATCAGTGCAGAAATCAATGCACTAAGAGAATAATGCAACTAACAGAATAATTCACAGATTCCAGCCTAATTTACAGATTTGGGCCAGTAAGACAGCTCAGCAGGTCTAAGTGCTTGTTGCATAAGCCTGATGACCTAAGTTCAGTCCTCAGAACCCAAGATGGAAGGAGAGAACAGACTCCTGAAAGTTGTCCTCTGACCCAAACAAGCCTGCTGTGTGGTATGCTTGTATACGCTCATGTGCGTGCATGTGCACACACACATAAAATTAAAACTAAAAAATAATTCATAGAATCAAAGAGTTGTTTCTTTGAAAAAAATAAACTAGATTGACAAACTCCTAGCCAAATTAACTGAAAGAGAGAAAAGTAGAGATCAAAAAGGGGCAATTAGTACAGATTCTAGTGAAATTCAGAGAATCATTAGGGAATATTTTGAAAATATAAAAAACTGGAAAAGCTAAAAGGAATGAATTCTTAGATGCTTGAGAACGACCAAAATCAAATTAAGAAGATATAAGCAATTTAAGTAGATAAAACTCAGACTGGACAATCACTGTTGTTGAATTCCACCAAACGTTTATAGAAAAACTAACACCAATGCTCCTCAAACTATTCCATAAAAGAAACGGAAGCTGGCCGGGCATGGTGGCACATGCCTTTAATTCCAGCATGTGGTAAGTAGAAGCAAGGATATCTCTGTGAGTTCGACTTGGGGAACTAAGATACTTTCCTCTTTGAAAAGTGTGGAAGAATACCTCCAAGGCTGAGACTGTAGCTCAGATGGTAGAGTGCTTACCTAGCACACATAAAGCCTGGATGTGATGCTCTGCACCCCGTAAATGGGAGTGTGGTACTGTAATCCCAGCAGGAAGAAGGAGGAACAGAATTTCAGAGGCCAGCCTGGTCAACATAGTGAGTTCTAGGCTAGCTAGGGCTGTACAGTGAAAGCCTGCCTCAAAAAAGTGGGGTAGGGTGGGGAACACTACCAAACTCATCGCATTACCCTGATACCAAAACCAGGTAAGAACACAACAAAAAAGACAATTATACATCGATTTCCCTGATGAACATAGACTCAAAAATTCTCAATAAAATTCTTGCAATCAAATTCAATAACATGTTAAGAAAGTCAAACACCATAACCAAGTTGGATTTCATTCCAAAGAAAGCAAGTCTGGTTCAACATACACAACTATAGCACATAAACATATTAAAGGACAAAAATCACATGATCATCTCCATCAATGCAGAAAAGGCCTTTGACAAAGTTCAACATCCTCTCATGATAAAAGCCCTAAAGAAACCAGGAATACACCTCAACATAATGAAGGCCTTACATGATAAACGTCTATCCAACATTCTACTAAATGGAAAAAAACAGTATTTCCTCTAAATATCTGAAACAATTCTCTACTCTTACTTAATACAGTGCTCAAAGTCTTAGCTAGAGCAATAGAGAAAGAAATAAAAGGGATACAAATAGGAAGCGGGGTTAAATTGTCCTTATTTGCAGATGGATTGATCTTACACTTAGAAGACCAAACCAACACCAAAAGAAACTTTTTTTTTTTTTTTTGAGGCAGAATCTCATATACCCAAGTCTGGCTTCAGACTTGCTATGTAGCCAATAATGACTGAAGCTCTGATCCTCCTGAGTCTACCTCAGGATTATAGGATTGTACCACCATTCTTGGTTTTATGTGATAATGAGAATAAAAATCAGGGTTTCATGGGGCATGGTAGTGCACACCTTTAATCCCAGCACTCTGGAGGCAGAGGCAGGCAGGTCTCTGTTGAGTTCAAGACCAGTCTGGTCTACATAGTGAGTTCCAGGACAACTGGGGCTACAGGGAGACCCTGTCTCAAAAAGACTAAAAAAAAAAAAAAAAAAAAATTCAGGGTTTCATGCATGCTTAGGAATATAAGTTCAACCGGAGAAACTAAGACAAACTACCAACTGAGCTACATTCCTAGGCCAAGTTATACTTTTATGTTTTTGTGTCATTTATTTTTTGATAGGGGCCGTGTAAGCCCCAGCTCATCTGGAACTCACTATGTAGACCAGGCTGGCCTTGATCTCACAAAGATCCGCCTACCTCTACTGGGAATGTGCAGTCACTATGGAAATCAGAATGGAAGTTTCTCAAAAAACTGAAAATAGACCTAACCTACAAAAACTACTATACAGTGTTGGTGCATGCCTTTAATCCCAGAACTTGGGAGGCAGAGGCAGGTGGAGCTCTGTGAGTTCAAGGCCAGCTGGAGCTACAGGGAGACCCTGTCTCAAATTAAAAAAAACAAAAAACAAAAAAACACTACTGTATGATCCAGCTATACCACTCTTGAGTATATAGCCGAAGGAGTACAAGTCATACCACAGAGATACTTGAATATCCTTGTTTCTAAATAGCTGAACTATTCATAATAGTGAGAAAAGAGAACAAGCCTAGATGTATACTAACAAATGAATTTAAAAAAAATGTGGTAAAAGCTAGAGAAATAGCTCAGAGATTAAGAGCACTGGCTGTTCTTGCAGAAAACTCAGGTTCGAATCCCAGCACCCACATGGTGACTAACGACCATCCATAATTCCAGTTCCAGGGGATCCTCCCACCTCTTCTGTCCTCCATGGGCACTGTACCACATGAGTACACTAACACACATGCAGGCATAACACTCATACACATAAAATAAAAATAAATAAGAGCCAGGCATGGTGGCACATGCCTGTAGTCCCGACACTTGGGAGGCAGAAGCAGGCAGATCTCTGTGAGTTCAAGGCCAGCTTGGTCTACATAGTGAGTTCCAGGCCAGCTGGGGCTACAGGGAGACACTGTTTCAAAAAGACAAAAAAAAAGTAAATAAATAAATAAAAATAAATTTTAAGAAATTTTAAAAAAAGAAATGTGATAAGTATATACAAGATTTTATTCAGCCATAAAGAAAAATGAAGTTATGACATTTTCAGAAAATGGATGTAACTGGAAATCATTATGTTAAATGAAATAAGCCAAACTCAGAAAGATAAATACCATACTTTATCCTATACACAGAACCTAAATTTAAAATTACAATTATGGCCGGGCGTGGTGGCGCACGCCTTTAATCCCAGCACTTGGGAGGCAGAGGCAGGCAGATCTTTGTGAGTTCGAGGCCAGCCTGGTCTACATAGTGAGTTCCAGGACAGCTGGGGCTAGGGGAAGACCTGTCTCAAAAAGATAAAAAAATAAAATAAAATAAAATTACAGTTATAAGCCAGGCATGGTGGTGCATGACTTTAGTTTCAGCACTTGGGATGCAGAAGCAGATGGATCTCTGTGAGACTGAGGCCAGCCTGGTCTATACAGAAAGTTCTAGGCCAGCTGGGACTACACAAAAACCTGTCTCCAAACAACAAAATTAATTTATTAATTAAATTATAAACATTTATATATATGGTTTATCTAGGTCATCAAACTAGAAAGGAGATCATGATGAGAGGAAGGCATCTTATGGGAGGGGAGAAAAGACAAGGTAATGGAATACACATGCCTGAAAGCATAAAGAGGATTATCTGAAGGAAGAAAGGGCACCAGTCTGGGGGGCGGGGGGTAGGAAGCACAGGGAAGGACAGTGAGGAAGGGACAAATTAGACCAAAGTCTAATGACATACATGTATAAAATGGCCTGCCATAATGAAACTCATTACTTTGTAAGCTAACTTTAAAAATAAACTTAGGGATGAGGAGATGGTTCAGGGGTTAAGAGCACTTGCTGCTATTGCACAGAACCTAGGTTCAGTTCCCAGCACAGACATGATGGCTAACAACTGTCCATAACTCCAGTTCCAAGATATTTGATGCCCTTTTCTCTTTCCTTAGGAATTGTACACACAAGGTACACTTACATACATGTAAGCAAAACACCCATACATATAAAATAAAAATAGAATTTTTAAAAGCAAAACTTGAATTTTTAAAAAATGTGCTGAACATCAAGAATGTACACACACACTATAGTCAGACTACTTTGAACTTAACTGGATATCCTAATTTTTATGAGCAAATGCTTACCGTTCAGGGGATTCTTCATAGATACTGTGACAGTCTGTATTCTCAAGCATGAGACTTCTGCTGAGGTTTTGTACCCCTGGATAATGGAAGTTAGCAAATGAGTGTGACATTGGAGAAGTTTTGTTGCCAAGGTCTGAGATTCTCTTATCGTGACTGGTTAGTCCACATGTGAGGCCGTCTAATGCAGGATTCAGAGAGCGAGTCATATAGGCATCAGCTGACTGAGGTCTTCTCATTGGAGATGATGGATAGGGAGAAAGTTTGCTGATAAGAGGAGTCAAAAGATCAGCATATGCAGCTTTTGTAGGTTTCAGAAGTTTGTCAACATGAATATTAAGCATTTTCTGTTCAAATGCACAAGAAAAGACGGAAGAAGGGAGGTTCTGAAGCCAAGACAATAAACTTAGATCTAAATCATCACAACCGTTACCGCATAGGAGGTCGATGCCAAGAAGTACTTCACTTTCTGTAATTTCTTCTCCAGTTGCTTTACTCTGACAAAATTCTACGCAGCATTCATAAAGCAGGCCTTTCATTACAAGCTGAAATAAGCGATTGTTACTTGCTTTAAAACCAGCCTCACTTAGCTTCCTGTCAGCAGGGATGAATTCTGCAACCATGACACAAACCTCTTCAAAACAGTGAACTCGTGCAGTGCTGGGATTCCAGTCCTTAAATTCAGCATGATTGGTCAGACGAGGCAAAGTCAGGAGCAAACAGAGCTTGCTATAGTCATCTTTAGAGGGACAGTACTCTTCTAGAGCATGTAAACACTGCACAGCTTCTTGCATGGTAAATTCCAACTAAAAAAATATAAATGATGACTATAAAAAGAGATGAAAGGTAAATGCTCACCTTAAAAATGAAATAGAGTACAAAAGATAAATTCTGAGCCAGGCATGGTGGTGCACATGTTTAATCCCAGTACTGGGAGGAAGGGAGGGGGGATCTCTCTGAGATAGAGGCCAGCCTGGTCTCTGGTCTACATATCCAGTTCCAGGCCAGCTGGTCTCAAACAAACAAACAAAAAAAATCTGGTGCAGAAAACACACATATAATTTGTAGAACATGTAACAATTTTTAACTGAGGAACCAAAATGTTTTCAGAAAATAATTCTTTTAATTAAAAAAAAAAATTAGGGGAGATACAGGTAGAAGAAAGGACTTTCTAAACCGGGCATCAATTGCTCAGGAATTAAGGTAAAGAATCAACAAGTGGGACCTTTTTAAACTAAAAAGTTTCTGTATAGCAAAACAACCAAGGAAGTGAAGAGAAAAACTCAAAAAGTGAGAGAAAATTTTCACGAGCGACACAGCTAACAGACGTTTAACATCCAGAATATATAAAGAACTCAAAACACAAAGAATCAAGAAAGCAAGCAACCCAATTAAAAGATGGGCTAAGGATCTGAACAGAGTTCTCAAAAGAAGAAATAAAGATGGCTAAGACACATCTTAAAAGGTGTTCAACATTGTTAGTAATTATGGAAATGCAAATTAAAACCACTTTAAGATTTCAACTTTCCCCAGTCAGACTGGCTAAGATCAAGAGAACAAATGATACTAAATGCTGGAGAGGATGTGGGAAAAGGGGAACACTCATCCACTGATGCTGGGATTGCAAACTCATGCAACCCCTATGGAAAGCGGTGTGGAAAACTCTTAAAAAACTAAAAATGGCCAGGCCTGGTGGTGTGCATCTTTAATCCCAGCACTCGGGAGGCAGAGGAGAGGCAGGCGGATCTCCGTGAGTTCAAGGCCAGCCTGGTCTACGTAGTGAGTTCTAGGACAGCTGGGGCTACAGGGAGACCCTGTCTCAAAAAGACCAAAAAAAAAAAAAAATCTAAAAACGAACCTACCATATGACCCAGTTATACCACTCCTTGGCATATACCCAAAGTACTCATCCTATTGCAGAGACACTTGTACATCCATGTTTGTAGCTGCTCTTTTCACAATCGCTAAGAGATGAAAGCAACCTAAGTGTCCCTCAACTGACGAGTGGATAATGAAAATACAGTACATTTACACAATGGAATTCTACTTAGGGGTAAGGAAAGATGAAATCATGAAATTTGCAGGTAATGGATAGAACTAGAAACTGTTATACTAAGTGAAGTAACACAGACTGAGAAAAATAAACGGCATATATTCTCCCTCATGTGGATGCTAGCTCCAAATCCTTTTATGTGTGTATGTACCTAGATGCAACTGCAGGAACCAAAATAATGAAAAGGAACCAGGAAGGTAAAGTTTAAAAAAAAAAAAAAAAGAACCCGAGAGAGGAGAACAGTAGGAAACAAATGTTAGTATGGGAGACATGGATAAAAAATGGGGCTATTTTTAAATGAGATGGGAGAGGGAAGGTTATACAAGGAACCTTGGGGATTAAAGGGAAAGAAGGAGCTCAAGAGAGGTGGGACCAGGCTGGGCGTGGTGGCACACACCTTTAATCCCAACACTCAGGGAGGCAGAGGCAGGTGGATCTCTGTGAGTTCAAGGCCAGCCTGGTCTACATAGTGAATTACAGGGAACCCCTGTCTCAAAAAGATTTTTAAAAAAGAGAGGAGAGCAAGAGAGAGGTGGGACCATAGGAGACTGGTATTATTGAAGGAGAGATGGGGAAAATGGGGATACTTTAAATTGGGAAAGAGAAAGAGAGAGAGAGAGAGAGAGAGAGAATAAATAATGCTTAGCTAGTTAAAAAAAAAAAACAGAGGGAAACCTATTAGTCCAACAACATAACGACAAATTACACATACAGTATCTCTGTATGAGTCTATGTGCTTAGCTAAAGGCTACATAGCAAGAAACAGCGCCAAACAAGAGAAACCTTCAGTGAGTTGTTGGCCAGGGTGGTCCAAAGACTTCCAGAATTATACAGGCTGTTCCCACAGGCCTTGATGACCTCCCATAAGTTGAAGGTAAGGCTCTACTACTGAAGACAGAACATACTTCGGACACAGGATTTGGAGCAATAGAGCTGGAACTGACCTGAAACCACTTCCCCTGAAGGCTAAATCTCATAGCTTTGGAGAGCAATATGAAAGTGCCAAGGAAAACATCATTCAGTGGTCCAACACCAGCTTCAAGACCAAATAACCACATTAATGGCCAGCATAGAGTATGGCATTGGTGCAATAGTAGCACTTTTATCTTGGGGGCAATCAACAGCTACCTAATTGAACTAAAAGCCCACTGAACGGGAGGTGCGGTACTGTAAACATAACCAAATACACAAGACTGTCACAACCCTAGACTAATGTAATTTCTTACTATGTGCAAAATATGTATCCTTATATCTACAGACAAATCCCAATCACCACTCGTCAAAGAAACATTTTGCGCCAGTTGGAGACTATTACCAAGTACTACAAATGGTCACATGCAGACACTGTCTATGAGTTACCCAGGCCCAAGGGACACATCTACAATGCAACCTGTACACCTAAGGCACACAGAACATAGAACAGATAAAGAAGAGGACACTAATGAATCTCTCAGTTCTCATTAATGAAGCTCCCTCATGCAAAAGAGGGCCAGGAACACAGAAGGTCACAAATGGCCAAATGTAGAGATTAAGAGTCGCAGAATGCTGGTCCTTGGACAGGACTCCTACATTAAACTTCACCCACCCAGGGCTCAGAGACCACTGCAGAAGAGGGGGCGAAATATTCTAAAGCCAGGGAGGAGGTGCATGACCTTTGGAAACAGAGTCCTACAGGCTCTTGGGAGCCTACTCATATGATTCTATGGCAATAAGGTCAGCATACACAAGTCCCATGCAAACTCAGGCAGACAAAAACCCAGCACAGAACTGGGGAAATGAACAGCAGACCCCAATCTTACCTGAAGAAATATTGGCAACTGATTACTGCTAGGTGAGAAAGAGCTGACCATCCTAAAACAAGGGACTCTAGATAGGCTGACTACACCTCAGTGGATGAACTTACACTGGGGAATGTCTGGAGACACTGACTTGACACAGTGGGCCTTAACACAGAGTATTATGGGTTCCAGTGGAAGGGCTATGGGAGGGTGCTGGGAGAGACAGAGGTATAAAGATGATTAATATTGCTTGAGATATTCTCTATTAAATACACAAATTCAATAAAAACAAATTTTTTAAAAATTAGGGGGCTGCAGAGATGACTTGGGACTTTAAGAACATTAGCTACTCTTCCAAAGGACCAGGATTTAGTTTCTAGCACCCATATGACAATTAGCAACCATCCATAACTCCAGTTTCAAAGGATCTGACACCCTCTCCTGGCTTCTATGCACACTGCATACATGGGTACATATAGGCTGAACACTCATATACATAATATAAAAAAAAATCAAAAAAATTTTAATTTAGTTAATTACCAAATTAAAATTTTTACCTACAAAAGCAGCATTCTAATTCAATTCAGGTTTCAAATTATAACTTTTGAATGTTCTTTTTTTTTTTTAGTGTGGTAAGATTCAGGGTCTCTATGTAACTCACCTGGCTATGTGTAAGTTTTTAAAATATTTTATGTATATGAGTGTATTGCTTACATGTATGTAAGTGCACCTGTGTCATGCAATGCCCAAGGAGGTCACAAGAAGGCATGAGATCCCCTGGAACTGAGTTACAGACAGTTGTTAGCTGCCATGTAGGTGCTGGGAACCAGACCCAGGTCCTCTGCAAGAGGAGTCAGTGCTCTTAACCGCTGAGCCATCTCTCCAGCCCCCAAAAGTGTAATTTTTCAATTTTTATTTTAATTTTTTTTTGTCTTTTTTTGAGACAGGGTCTCCTTGTAGCCCCAGCTGTCCTAGAATTCACTATGTAGACCAGGCTGGCCTCGAACTCACAAAGATCCACCTGCCTCTGCCTCCCAAGTGCTAGGATTAAAGGCATGCGCCACCACACCTGGTTATTTATTTATTTGTGTGCGTGTGTGTGTGCATGTTCTTCTCTGGCCTCTAGAGTACACATCCACACACACATACACCATATACATAACGAATAGTTTAAAAAATTAAAAATTAAATAAAACCTTTAATCCCAGCACTTGGGAGGCAAAGGCAGGTAGACCTCTGTGAGTTTGAGGCCAAGCTGGTCTACATAGTGAGTTCCAGGCCAGTTGGGGCTACAGGGAGACCCTGTCTCAAAAAGACCAAAAAATAAAAATAAAAAAAAGTTAAGCAGGGAATGGTGGCACACGCCTTTAATCCCAGCACTCACAGAGGCAGGCGGATGTCTGTGAGTTCAAGGCCAGCCTGGTCTACATAGTGAGTTCCAGGACAGCTGGGGCTACAGGGAGACCCTTTCTCAAAAAGACCAAAAATAAATGAATGAATGAATGAATAAAAGTTAAATAAATAAATAAAATTCATTTGTTGCAGTCCTAAACTGCAAATATGATGGTATTAGAGGGGTGAGGTCTTTGGGAAGTAATGAGGTCATGAGGACAGAGCTCTCATAAATGGAGAGAGCTATCTAGCCTACTCCACACCATGTGAGGACCCACCTAGGAGGTCTCACCTATGAACCAGAGAAAAAGCCCCATATACCTGCTGGCAACATTGATCTCGAATCTCCAGCTTTCAAAACTTCGAGAAATAAATTTCTACAACCCATAAGCTACTGGCTTGACTGTTTTTTTATGGCAGTCTGAAAGGACTAAGACAGTTTATCCAATGAAAATTTACTTGGTTCAGATGTGACAATACTAATAATGAAAAAGTAACTTTTGAGGCCTGGAGAGATGACCCAGTAGTTAAATGCACTAGCTGCTCTTACAGAGGATGTGGGTTTGGATCTCAATACCCACATGGCAGCTAATATCCATAACACCAGTTCCAGAGGATCTGACACACTCTTTTAGCCTCTGTGAGCACTGCATGTATATGGTGCATTTACATGCTGGTAAAACACATACACATTAAATAAAAATTAACTAAAAATTTAAAAAGGAACTTTTGAGCCAGGCATGGTGGTACACGCCTTTAATCCCAGCACTCAGGAGACAGAGGCAAGCAGGTCTCTATGGGTTTGAGGCCAGCTTGGTCTACATAGTGAGTTCCAGGACAGCTGGGGCTACAGAGAGACCCTGTGTCAAAAAAAAAAAACACCACCACCAAAGAAAAAGAAAAGATGCAATGATGAGTGATCAAATCAGTTATCACTATCTACTTCCTAGCTCCTTAAACTGTGGGTCACAGCCTGGGAACTGAATATGGGGTTGCAAAAAAATTAGATTAATAGTGAAATGCTTCTGAATGTACAACAACCAAAAATTAACTCAAAATCAAACACACGAGTCCCAGGTGTTTCTAGCAGTACTCGCCAGTGTTCCATTGTAGGACTTCACTGCACTTGGTTCTGAACATTTAATATGAATACTCTGCACTGTGCAGGCCCTCACCCCACACAACAGCTATGAACACTGCATAAAGCAACCTCAGCTCATGTTATGTTCTGAATTGTGGTGTTTCTATTGTTTATACAAAAATAATAGAAGTTTTCTGGTCTTATTGGGATGTAACAGTTTACAGAAAACAAAGACTTTAAAATACTATCTTATTAGTATTTATTCTTCAGTATGTAAGGATAAGATTACTGATAATCTTTAGACTGTATTGTGTTATAATAGTCCATCAATTAGAAATCAATTAAGGCCGGGTGTGGTGGTGCATGCTTTAATCCCAGCACTTGGGAGCAGAGGCAGGTGGATCTCTGAGTTCAAGGTCACCTTGGTCTACATAGCAAGTAATAGACCAGCTAGGGCTACAGAGAGACCCTGTCTCAAAAAGATGGTCTATATAGCAAGTAATAGACCAGCTAGGGCTACAGAGAGACCCTGTCTCAAAAAGATGGTCTACATAGCAAGTAACAGACCAGCTAAGGCTACAGAGAGACCCTGTCTCAAAAAGACCAAAAAAAAAAGTAATCAATTAAGGTAACTCTTACAAAAAGTTCATACCTTGCTCTTGGGTGAGTCTTTCTTTCAGAGAACCTCTCTTAACCCTTAGGGCTTAAAACTTGATTTTTAAAAAATTAATTTTAATAAATCTTGACACTTTCAAAAATAGATTCTGCTTCAAAGCAATCAAATAAAAATTTATATTTTAAGGGCTGGAGAGATGGCTCAGCAGTTAAGAGCACTGACTGCTCTTGCAGAGGAGCTGGGTTTGATTCCCAGCACCCACATGGCGGCTACAAACCGTTCTTAACTCCAGTTCCAGGGGAATCTGAAGCCCTCTTCTGAGCTCCACAGCATTGCACGACATGGGTGCACTCAACTTACATGCAGGCAATACACTCATACACATAAAATAAAAAATAATAAATAAAATATTTTTTAATTTATATTTTAATATCTTTATTTTATTTTATGTGTATGCACGTATTGCCTGCATATAGGTAAGTGCACCCATGTTGTGCAATGCCCGGAGGTCAGAAGAGGCTGTCAGATCCCTTGGAACTGGAGTTATGGACAGTTGTTGGCTGCCAATGTGGGTGCTGGGATTTGAACCTGGGTCTTCTGCAAGAGCAACTAGTGTTCTTAACCACTGAGCCATCTCTCCAGCCCGAGTTACATTTAAAAAAAAAAAAAAAGTTATCCAATTAATTTTGGTTTGGGATTAAGACAAAATTTCCAACAATTTCTGATATGGCCCTAAATGCACTTTTGCCCTTTTGTACTACATACTTATGTAAAGTGGTATTGTCACCTTTAATAATTATAAAGCAAAATTATAGCCCAGAATGGTGGCGCACGCCTTTAATCCCAGCCCTCGGGAGGCAGCGGCAGGTGGATCTCTGTGAGTTCAAGGCCAACATGGTCTATGTAGTACATTTCAAGCCAGCTGGGGCTACAGGGAGACCCTGTCTCAAAAAAGACTAAAAATAAATAAGTAAAATTAAAAAAAAAATACTAACTCTGAGAAAACGTTGAAGATGTTCTACATCCTGTGTTACCTAAGATTTAATTCTTTTTGTAAAAATGAGTGAGCATCAGGAAGAGGCAGTAAGATCAAAAGTTCAAGGTTGCAGCCCAGCGGGAGGCAGAGGCAGGCAGATTCAAGGCCAGCCTGGTCTACATAGAGTTCCAGGCCACTGGGGCTACAGGGAAACTCTGTCTCAAAAGGACAAAAAAAAGAGAAAAAGTTCAAGATCATGCCTAGTTACACAAAACCAGCCTGAGCTACATGAGACCCTGTCTGTCTGTCTTTCTTATGTATGTATGTATGTATGTATGTATGTATGTATGTATGTATGTATTTCTGAGACAGGGAGGGAGGGAGGATAGAGAGTTTAGGAAAATGGATCAGTGGGTAAAGTGCATCAAGGGCCTGTGTCTGTATCCACAGAACGCAAATAAAACTGGGTGTAGTAATACGTGTTTGTAATCCCAGTGCTGGTACAGCAGGACAGGAGGTGGAGACAGGAGAATCCCAGGAAGCTCACAGCCAGCTAGCCTGGCATACAAAGAGGTGAACAATAAAGAGACTTTGTCTCAACAAAGTAGAGCCAGGACAGACACCCAAGGCTGTTCTCTGACCTTCACACACCATAGCAAGCACACACACACACACGCACATGCACACACACATATACACACATACAAACATGGAACATACACCCACCCACATGAAAAGATTTTTAAAATAATATATAAAGGGGCTGCAGAGATGGCTCAGCAGTTAAAAGTACAGTTTACTGTGTAAGAGTGAGGACTACAGTTAAGATCTCAGCACCCACGTAAAACCAAGTATGATCCCAAACATGCCTGTAACCTCAGGACTGAGTGTACAAAGAAAGGACTGCTGAGGCTTGCAGGATACGAAAAAAAAAAAAAAAAAAATCCTTCTCCAGGTTCAGCAAGAGAACTGCCTCAAAAGAATAAGGCAGAGAATGATAATAGGACATGATACACCCTCCTCCAGGTGCACACACACGAGTACACCTCAGACACACATACACACACACACAAATAATAAATTTCTTCATGATTTATTATCAGTAAATATTTCATTTGTATACCTATTATCTAGAGTCATGTAAAAATTTCTAAGGCAGGGGGCTAGAGAGATGGCTCAGCGGTTAAGAGCACTGACTGCTCTTGCAGAGGACCCAGGTTCAATTCCCAGCACCCACATGGCAGCTATGAACCATCCTTAACTCCAGATCCAGGGAATCCGAAGCCCTCTTCTGACCTCCTCAGCATTGCACAACACAGGTTCACTCACATACATGCAGGCAATACATTCATACACATAAAATAAAAATAATAAAATAAAATTAAAAAAATAAATTTCTAAGGCAAAAGGAGTCACCAAAGGAAAGACTTTAAGAAGCCTTGATCTAACTTACCTTAAAGGAGAGGAATATACTCAATTAGACAGCTATTCAGTAATCATCTTGGCTTAAATCACAGAACAGGTTTAGAAGCACTACAGATTCAAAGTACAACCTCTGCAAAAAAGCAAACCTTGCTCCTCCACCACAGCTCATAAAAACTTTGAAAACTCATGATAATATTCTTCTGTTTTAGTGAATAAAATATTCAGAACTGAAAACAAGACTAGGGCGCAAACCTTCAGGAATAAAAATCTTACATGCTGGGGCTCATCTTCTGCAGACATTGCATTGTTAACACATAAAGCTTCTAGAAACTTCTGCTTCAGGATAATATAACGAAACCTGTGAAAGACAAAACATTTTGATTAGAAAGTTGAATGATAGCAGGCATGGTAGTACATGTCTATAAACTCAGCACTCAGGAGGTAAAGTGAGAAGATCATGAGTTGAAAGCTAGCCTGGGCTACAAGGTTAAGCCCTTATCTCAAAAAGAAGGAAGAAAAAAAGAAAAAGGGAAGGAGGGAGGGAGGGAGGAGTTGGTGTTAGAGGAGGAGGGAAGGAGTAATGCTAAGGACCAGAAAAGACATCCAAGTTTCTGAAGCAAAACAGACCAAGTTTGTTTCACGCAGTGCTGTAAACCACACCTGTAACTCCGCAAGAGCAGCCAACGCTCTTATCAGCTCAGCCATCTCTCTGAGCCCCCTTAAAGATTTAAATTCAAAATTGATTCTATAAAAAAAATCTGGGTTTTATGGAAGATGTCAAATGATTTCAAATTTGAAAACAAATGTCTTTTTTTGTTCTTTGCCCCTTTTTCCTCTCTTTCTTTTTTTTTTTTCTTTGAGACAAGGTCTCATTTGCTCAGGCTGGCCTGGAAACCAAGATCCTTTTGCTTCAAGCTCCAAGTACTGAATTACAGGCATGTATCACCATACATGAATAAACTTTTTGTTGTTTTGTTTTTTCCTTGAGATTTTGCTATGCTGACCAGGTTGGCCTCAAATTCATAATCCTCCTGCCTCAGTCTAACAAGCAGCTGAGGCTACAGGTATACATATCATACCTGACATTTTTCTTCTTTTTACCTTTTTTTTGGGTCATTTTGAGACAGGGTCTCCCTGTAGCCCCAGCTGGCCTAGAACTCACTTTGTAGCTTAGTAGAGCAGGCTAGTCTTGATCTCACTGAGATTCACCTGATTCTGCCATCTGAGTGCTGGGATTAAAGGTATGTACCACCACACCTGGCTTTTCACATTTTAAAATATTTATTCTGTTAGCCTTTAATCCCAGCACTTGGGAGACAGAGGAGGGTAGATCTCTGTGTGTTTGAGGCCAGCGTGGTCTATACAGTGACTTCCAGGCTAGCTGGGGATACAGAAAAACTCTGTCTCAAAAAGATTTTTAAAAAGTCTGATATTTTTAAGAACTCTAAAGAAAAAGTGTTTCTAAGGATTGAAAAAACAAAACAACAACAACAAAAAAAAAACAGAATGGAACTTCAGTCCAGTGTTTTAGTAAAAGATGTCCAATAAAACAAAATCTTTGCCTTTAAGGTTATCTAGTAAACTGCATGAAATATGTACAGGGATAAGCAAGATGTCAAAGGAATGTAAAAATAAATCTACCAGAAAATATAGGAAGTAAAAGGAAAGGTGTAAGAACTGACTTTTAGGGCCATCCTGGTGGTACAAGCCTATAATCTGTTATTTGGGAGGCATATGGCATGAGGGCCACAAATTCAAGGCCAGCCTGAACTTAGTAATACCCTGTCTCAAAATAAAGTGTAAAGGAAGGAGGCCAGGCGTAGTGGCGCACACCTTTAATCCCAGCACTTGGAGGCAGAGGCAAGCGGATCTCTGTGAGTTCAAGACCAGCTGGTCTACATAGTGAGTTCCACAACAGCTGGGGCTACAGGGAGACCCTGTCTCAAAAGAAAAAAAAAAAAAAAAAAAAAAAAAGTAAAGGAAGGGATGGGTAGCTCCATGGTAAAGCACTTATCCAACATGTGTGTATTAGTCACTCTTCTGGTACCAACTATTGTATTAGTCACTTTTCTGTTGCTGTGATAGAAACACTGACCTGAGCAACTTATAGAAAGAAGAGTTCCAGGGGAATTACAGTCTGTCATAGCAGGGAGGCATGGTGGCTGGAGGTGGCTGGACCAGGAGCAGCAGAAAGCTAAGCTCTCACATCATCACGCAGGCACAGGAAGTAAGAGTGCAACTGGAGATCTGGAAAGGCTTAAGAACTCTCTAAGCCCACCCCCAGTGACGTGCTTCCTCCAGGATAGCCACATGTTCTAAACCCTCCCAAAACAGCGCCATCATCTGGGGTAAGATGTCCAAACACTTGGGAGACATTTTCATTCAAACCAGCACAATGTGTAAGGCCTTTGGCACTCAAAAAAAAAAAAACAAAACCAAAAACCAGAACCAAGAAAAAACCCCACCAACTTAGTAGACTATCAGAACAGGAGAAACAGTAGTCCAGATAAAGTATAAAAGCAAAGTTATCAAAAATGCTGAGTGGGTCAATCAAAATATAAGATTCAGGCCAGGTGTGGTGGCACACACCTTTAATCTCAGCACTCCACAGAAGCAGACAGATCAAGACCAGTTTGGTCTACATAATGAGTTTCAGGCTGGCCAGGGTTACATAGTGGGGACCTTATCTCAAAATATATGATTCAACTTTTATAGTGGTAAAGTAGCTTGAATCTGACTAACTTCTGCAGATAACATTAAATCTTATATAACATACACAGGCACTCACACACAGTCTGAAGACATTAGAAAACCAAAAAATGCCAGCATAGTGGCAGAGGCCTGTAGATCTAGCTGAAGCAGGAAGATTTTGAATTTGAAGATAGACTGGGCTATGTAGTAAGAACTTAACTCAAAAAAAAAAAAAAAACAGATAAAAAGGGAGGGAAGGAAGCAGGGAGGGAAGGAGGGGAAAACTACTAAAACTCTAAAACTCAGCAACAAGCCAGACATGGTGGCGCACCCCTTTGAGCCCAGCACTCCAGTCAGAGGCAGGCGGATCTCTGTGAGTTCGAGGCCAGCCTGGTCTACATAGTGAGTTCCAAGCCAGCTGGGGCTACAAAAAACAAACAAACAACAACAACAAAAAAAAAAATTCAGCAATAGAAGGAAGTCAATTCTTAGAAAACAAGAACCTTTGGGGTTAAGAACCAAAGGTATTAGAGTTTTCAGCACCCTAGTTTGATACGGCTAGAGCAGACAGAAAACAAGTAGAGATTCAGAAAAAAGAGCCACAGAAAGAAATGCACTAAAATCTAATGAATAAATTCAGGTGTCCAAACCTTTGGTTATTCCCTAAACTGTTTTTTGACACAACAGAAACTCCAATGTGCACAGAGGCAGCAATAGAAGGAAGGTTAAAGGACCAAGCAGAAGTTTCAGCAGAAATCCACTAGAGAGGAGACAAAATTTGCATTTTGAGGCTACCCAAGTTAACTATCTGCTTGAATAAAAATCAACACATAACGCTGAGATGTTTGCACATGTGTCTCTAATCTGTATGTATCTGATTATTACTAGTCATAATTGGTTGCACTCAGATCCTTG